GACTTGAACTAGGACTTTATACAGTGTGTGCCATTGTAAAGACTTCAAGTCTATTCCTCAGCTTCGTTTTCTTGTGTTAAATTCAATATGGCGGCTAACCTGACCATGGTCAAAAGGAATAAACTGTAAACGCCCCCTCTGCTCCATGCCAGTGGACACACTCCGTTAGTCTTATGAGGTTGAATTTCAGACATAAATTTGTTGTTTTTTGTATAATATTCCTATGCTATAGCTCTAAAATCTTAAATATAATATCATTCTGTTCTCAAACTTTTTTCACATGGTCTAATAGAATTGCATACTAACATAGGCCTACTGCTGTTTTTACCATAGCTTTGGCAGAAATAGTAAGAGATATATGCAAAATCAGCTTCGGATCCACAATTAATAGTATTTGTCTTTTGACAAAAATGTCCTTTAAATTTAGTAAATATTTTGTCATTGTCACATTTGCTACTGTGAGGGAGTGCGGAGACGAGGAGTACATCAACAAGGAGATTTTAATGACATCAAGGGAACCAGGAAAACACACGTAGCTGAGGAGGTTGACATAAACAACACCGGACGAGGAAACATGGAAACACATACAGCTTAAATAATAAGGGAGCTAATGGGACACACATGGGATCAATAGAACTAAATGGGGAACACCTGGAAACACATTAAATAATCATAATAACGACAGGAACGGGAAGGACCAAAAAAGGGCATAAACATAACACATGGGAAAACCAGAACATGGAACACGTGGGGAGCAAAACACAAAACATGGAACAGAGTCTGACAGTGATGTAATATTCATTCTTTTTTAGTCAGTTTGACTAAGATAATAGCTTATAATTATAGTCACCAAAAAATTATATATTTTTTTTTATTAAACTTGTTTATTTATCATCATGATGCATCTTTTCAGTTCAGATTTTGCATTTGCAACAAAAATTTTCATGACTGATTTTGTTGATGAAATACTGCATGTGAATATCAATGGAATTCCTGTCATTGACATCAAATGCGGCATGGAACATGTTCATGCGTCAAGTTTGAATATGGGCAAAAGCAAATGAGATTTGATATGAGGGGAAAGATTTTCAGAAATGACAGTTTAAGCTAACCCATCGTGAGGATTCATAATGTCATACGTAAATTGTTTGGACCACTTTTATAGGGCTTTTTGGCAGCCCTTGGTAACAAAATATTTTCAGCGTATGCAAAAAAAAGAGCTGCATGGAACTGAAACAGTTGAGTAAACGACAAAATTTCCAATCCTTCGTGAACTATTCCTTTAGCAAAACACTTCCAATCACTAAAAACACCTCAACACCCAACAACAGCAAGTCTTATATCAACACCGCAGCTCTCTTCTTCTATTCCCTGAAACAAATGTCCAAATGAAATGGCCCATTTCCTCTGTCCAGATTACTCCTGACAAAACAAACACACTGACACAAACACAAGCAAACGAATACATAATGACCTGTTTGTGAGGTGGCAAAGAGTAAAATCAATGAGATGAGACATGTAGGACCTGGAAGATAAAACAACAAATTGACTTGGAAAAACACATTAATCTCATGTTCAGTGAAAGCAAACAGAAGCCCATCACCCTTGTTTATTTCCTTGGAGTGTGTTAGCAGTGGGTAACAGACTGCACAAATGCAATAAGATCCAGTACTCTTCCATCAAAAGGCAAGAATTATCTAATCATACTGATGAAAATATAAATCATCCATACAGCACCAAAGCTGGACAATTCCCAACAGGTGATGTAATATGCCGAGGCAAAGCAGCCTTAATGTTTTTTTCCTTACTGATTGAAATCTATACAGCATTAGCACTTATACACCTTGTATGAGATGTTCTAGAAGGTCTAGAGGAAAAACAACTCCCCTGGTAATATTTTAGCAGATATTTCCCATCAGCAGGTCGCCAGGCAACTGTGTCCTCATGATTCAGGTCCATGGTGAGAATAGCACAATGAGGCAATGATCACAGCTCTATGTTTCCAAGCTGGATCTTACACTGAGACAAACTAAATCCCAGTGTATAAGAAAAAGCGAGCTCATTCACGCAGATAAAAACATTATTTCACTGAAAAAGCTAATGTACTAGAGCCATGGTCAACTACGGTTGTGTAATTACTACCGTAATTACTTAGAAGCTATAAGAGAAATAATTCTTTAACACATTTCTGAAAAGCCCGAGCACATGAATGTGAGACATACTATGTGATTAAATAAAGAGACAGGCAATGTGCTCCGCTGTGATGATTTTCCCCAGAGCTCAAAGCCTCCAAATCCTGAGCCACTCTGGAATCAACAAAGTTCACAGTATGAAGGGTGGTGGCTGTTCAACAATTCAGGCTTACAGCTGCAAACGGGTGGACTGGCTTAGGGCTGCACGTCACACTGGCTTTTTATAGAACGTGCACCACATTTCAGGACTGATACATTTTAGATTATGTTGCATCAATTATGTACGTGCTCTATTCTAGACATGGTTCCTCCATGCTGCTGTCAAATTTTAATTAGGGGAGACAAATCAAAGGGGTTATTTGAGGCTGGGTTTTAACACTTATGTAAAATTTTATTGTAAACAACAGATAGTACATGTGAAAAAGAAAAACAGTATCTATCTATATTCTAAATGAGTTAAAGAACACACACACACACACACACACGCGTTTGTTTCTGTGAATTGTGGGGTCTATCTATAGACTTCTATTACTTTTATTCTGACCAAACAATATTTTCTATCCCGTAACCCAACCCTAACACTAAACCCACCCTTACAGAAAATATTGTTTGGTCA